TTGGGCTGCCTGAGCAGTTCTGAGTGCATTACCAGCGCTGTATTTGTGTATCTGCTTTCTCTGTAGTTTTGAGCAGTTGGAATAATGGAGTGAGGGGAATCCTCTCTTATAGTCTGGCCCATTCTCTTGATAAAGTTTGTTCTGTGAAAGTTTCAGAAATGTGCTAGTGGCTTTCAACAAACAAAATTCTTTTCTCCTGTCTCACCAGGCCGCCTTAATATTACTTACCCCATGCTGTTCAAGCTGACCAACAAAAACTCGGACAGAATGACACACTGTGGCGTGCTYGAGTTTGTGGCTGATGAGGGCATATGTTACCTTCCACACTGGGTGAGTTGCCTCATGCTGGACTGTCAGAACCTGAAAAGTGGGATTAGCAAGTTTAATATTAAGGAGGTGGAGTGTTTCCTGACAGTGCCTGTCTCTRCTAGTCATGTTCCTACAACAGCCTTCAGTCCTGGCTCAGGCTTCCTTCCACARAAGTTCAAGAAAAGCAGACTGCTTTTTAACATGCACTTGGCTGTTCTTCCTCGAACTGAATATGCACAAGAACTGATAAACACAGGAAAGAGATCTGAAAACATCAGACGTATTGATAGTGCTTTGTATGTTTGTTTCCATTCTGCAGATGATGCAGAACTTGCTGCTGGAAGAAGGAGGCCTGGTGCAAGTGGAGAGTGTCAATCTGCAAGTTGCTACTTACTCAAAATTTCAGCCACAGAGCCCAGATTTTCTTGACATCACCAATCCCAAAGCTGTGTATCCTTCCTATTCAGTTATGGAATAAGGGGGGAAAACTTCTTCCAAACTGGATTGTTAAAGCAGAGCTAGCTTTTTAGGTGTGGCTCATACCTYTACAGTAGTAGGTAGCCACTGCTGCTCCTGAAAACAAAAGGGATGGAGAGCTGAGGTACAGAAACATGGYCAGCTGTTGGCACCAAGTGTGGCCTGGAATAAAAAAAAGTGTTGGCTTAAAATCCATTGAATTTTGAGTCCTTTTGAAGAACTTGTACACTCTAATATTTACCAAAAGGCTGTCTGCAGTACTGATGACTTTGAAACCATGCCTGAGAAACCAAGGATCAGAGATGTATAATATGACAACTTTTAAGTTTTGATATYGCATTGAAAATAAATATTTCATCTTAACGTATTCCAAAGACTAGAAAATGCATTGAGAAACTTTGCCTGTCTAACCACTGGGGATGTTATTGCCATCAACTACAATGAAAAGGTACAGTACAGGGTTGAGGGCTGTAGACTGAGTTCAGTTGTTGGATGTTGGTACTAAAACCATCAACCCTGAGCTATGCAGTGTTTTGGACAAGTAAACCCAAATAGAGTTTACAGTTGGTTTTCTATTGGAGGGAAAAAGGAGTCAGCTTTTTCTCAGAAAAAGAAAAAGTCTTTTTCTGAGCTGCTGTTTAAACTTTCTTGGATTCACAAGAAGATACGTATTTGTATTTCAATGCTATTGAAKTTTTTACAATTCAAGGGAAAAAATTATTCTAAATTCAGAATTTTGTTTTTCCAAAATTCAGATTAAAGTACAGTAAGAGTGCAGCAAGGCACAGTCATAGGTAGGTTCTCTGGCTTCTAGGTTAAAAACCTTTGCTCTTAAATGCTGTAGAGACCCTGCAGTATCCAGTCCTCAACCTAAAGAGCACTTACTCCAGTTTCCTCCAAGCTGTCTGAAGGGAAAGGTTTAGATATGCTTTTCTTATATATAATGCAATCTTCACATATCTCTGCTGTTCTAGATCTATGAGCTTCGGGTAATGGAGACCAAACCAGACAAGGCTGTGTCCATCATAGAGTGTGATATGAATGTAAGTTAAAGCTGATATGGACAGTCTGCCCTACCTGTGTCCTCCCTAGAGGAGAGGGCACTTGTGCAGTGAGAGCTCTGCACATGCAGCTCCTCTGATGCTGCAAGAAAGGTGCAATCCATCAGATAGGGAAGATGACTCATTTGAAACTACTCATGTGCCTTTGTAACCCTGTCTGTGGTCTTGATTAGCACTTCATGTGCCATCGGGTGACTGTAGTGCCTAGAATTTAATGTTCAGCTTCAACATGTTTTATCTGAGATTTATTTAATTGCTTTCTCTTGACTCATACTCCAGTGATACTGTGGTGCTGTTTTACTGCTCT